GAGCGGTTCCGTTCACCTCTCTTCCCGACCTGGATAAAGTGGAGGAGAGCTGGCACTTCGGTAGCAGCTCGACGTCTGAAGTGTAACTAGGTTGCGGCCCACAGCAGACAGCAACATTAAATAGAAGAGCTTATATATTTTACGCTAAATCAAATAAAACAAGGTGTTTTCCAACCTGCCTTGAGTGCCTCTCTCTCCTGCGTGATGCACGGAAAATGTGCGAGTACAGCCGTAAGAGAGCAGCCTTTTGGGGAAGAAAAGCCAGAATCGCTCCACTTTCAACTTCTGTTAGGGAGAAACCTGGTTAGTAGTAATAGTAATAATAAACAACCTTCTGCTCCGTTCAGTAGTTTGCCAGGCAGGTTGACACCACTGAGTAATACAGGATGCTCTTTTTCTTATTTCCATGTTTGTGCAAGGCCCTGCATCAAAACAGGCAATTGAGTTGTGAATGGCATTCCCCCCCTTTTCCATTTTTCTCCTTCCATCCTAAATCACCAGCATGCCCAACCATAGCCGGAGGAGTTATAATCTATGCCTGCACCTTCTTTTGTGCCAGGAGTTCATTTTTAAACCGTGGGCAAAAACCGGTCTCCCTAATTGTGGCTGTAATAATCATGGCTCCATTATAAACTGGAGGCTTTAATCAAGTCAACCGCAGAACTCCCAGCACAATCAAGACTTTTCTTTTGATATTATTCAACCTCCCACTTGAGCTGGAGAAGTGCTTCCACCACCAAATAAGGGTAATTAAATTATGTTTGATCCGAGCTGAATTATTTCTTGTAGATTTTGGGAGATTTCCTGGGCCCCTCATCCAACCGGAGTTAAAAGGTTGAGTTTTGTCCATGTAGAAAATATATATATATTTTTTTTTCATAAAAGCAGTCATAACCTTTTTCTATCCTATTCAGGAAGGAAAGCATCTCAACCATCACAGTTTTCCAATCCATGCAAAGGGCATTCCTTTGACTTTGCCTTCAATATCAAACTGCAGCAATAAAATTAAACTCTCATCATTTTCCCCTCGAGATGAAAGAAGAGTTACACATGAGCGCCTGTCACATTGCTTAGTACACTTTTGGAAGTCCCTCGGACAGCAAGGTGATTAGTAGGGTATAAGAACCCATGCCCTGATGCTGTCGATGGCAAAATGAAGCTGATCCAAGTCTGTCATCTCCCTCCCGAGAAGTGTTGTTCAATCCATTGACCACTGCTGTATTACCTCGCCACCACCTCAAATGACCAAATACACATAAAAAAAATGAAAATATTTTATTCTGATTAAACAATCATGTTACATGACGCCATGTGCAGAACTCAGTAGCTAAAACCAGCTTTGATTCATTCCATATACAGATCTAAAAAAGCCCCAATACATTACCAAAATAGGTCCAAATGTAGTCAAGTAAAGGCAACATCTTTTATGTTATGGGAACGGTCACTAAAAAAAATAAAATAAAATAAAAAAAAATACAAAAAAAAATGGTCCATACACCGCATTCAGTCTAAAAATCTGAGTTCAGTAAATCAAAGTTTTAAACCAGACGTACGTGAGGAGGAAAAAAAACCCAACAAAAATCACGTCTTGATAGTTAATTAACTAAAATATGACATTATAAAATGGCCTTAAGAAATCTGGACAAGGACTTGCTGTCCCAGTATTATGGTACTAACTGAATACTGGAACAGCTCAGAGATTCTCAAATGAATAGTAAACAGGGGAGTTTACAACCCTACGTTAAGGTGAAATTTTAAGAAGTCCATCTGAAAGTGCTGCACCTTCTCTCCTGCCCTTTCACAGCCTCCGGGAGCTTATAAGTGACCTCTTGCAAGTGTCCCCTTCTCCGAAACAAACATCCTGGCTGCCACAGGCTTAACCCACCTCTGCTTCTCAGACTCAACCCTTTGTTTCTTGGATTTCTGTTAATATATGAGCATCTGCCATTAGGGCTTCTGTGGTAGCATCTCCTTTAAAGATCTGAATCTTAGGTTAGGTCTGTGCAAATGCAAGGCAGTGCCAGGCAAGGACACCTGGAACCACAAGCAGTATAGTGGTGCTAGCCGAGACAGCACTGCATGAATTAGTTCTGCAGGCCTTAATAGCTCTGACATAGCTTTATACAAATGTAGCCGCGACACTTCTGGTTCCAGAACTAGCACAGACTGCGTTGGCTCATATCCTGACATGGCACCACCTTATGTAATAAAGACATGTCCCTAGGGACCACGGATGGTTTAAATGAGGAAGAACACCACTGAAGTCCATGGAGTCACCACAGTGAGCAATTGGAATCAAACACCATGAAGTTTTCCCAAGAACTACCTGGAAGAGCTGGTCCCACGGCTGACAGAATGAGTTATACAACAAAGCTGCTCCCTGCTGTAGGTACACTAGACCTTTTTCTTGAATTCGTGTGTGCACGTGTGTAGATCAGTCATCAGCTTTTAACCCAGTCACCTTGACCCCACCCTAAGCAGGTCTATGACAGCGATTAATGCATCTGCAGAAGCTAGTGCCCTTTCAGCACCAGCATTGAAAAAAAGGGCCGTTAGTGAGAGCCTCACTAGCGACCCACTTCAATCTCTGCAGGCTTGGGGACTGAAAGCACAGGACAACCAAAACAGCAAAACAAATCTAAGCAGCTGGATGCCGAGCAGTCCTTTGAGGTTAGGACGTGACAGGTTGCCTGCTGGCCAGAATTAAATAAAATAAAGCAGCTAGTCACCATATACAGTAATTCACTATTACTTTTAGATGATCCTATTTTATTAAATGTATTATTAAGCATCCATTCTATGATTCCCCATTAGGCTGAGTGACAATGTCAGTTAAATGAGTTGTGAGGCAGCGCTATGCACTCAAGATGCACATGAATCCACGTTCTTAAACAGTCTCACATCCTAGCACTTCAATAATTGATCATTTCAGTCCCATAGGCACATAGAGGATGCAAAACACCAGAACTGAGATGCACACACTGTCTCCAAAAGTAAGAAGGGTACAGGCACATGAACAAATCATCATGAGATAAGAGGGGGGTGTGGACTTCCAGCATCTGAACTACTCTGCTGGTATCGTTCATGTACATGCTCTTATCCACCACAGATGCAAGTCAAGCTGCTCCTCAACGAACAGAGTAAATTGCCTCGTATTTAATGTGGGGAAAAGAGCATGTATGCTGACGGTTACTGCAGAACTTGTTTCATAAGAACGTGTGCCCATACCCCAATACTCCCCGCCCCACCCCGTTACTGCAAAATTAAAAGCAGACAGTAAAATAGAACATATTTAAATTAATGTGGCAATGAGGCAATCTCATAAAAAACATAACATCACTTTACATTGTTTTATACAAATCAGCCTTCCAAAAATACCTTGCAAATTCTGACATACAGCTATGATACAATATGTACAAAAAAATTACCAGAACGGTTATACTTTATTGCTTGGTTTTTTGTTTGTTTGTTTTTTTTTCTTTCGAGTTTTTTTTTTTTTTTTTTTAAATTTGGTTCAGGAATTCATACAGACATGTATAAGAGGGTGTGGAAGCTACTGAGAAGCAAGTGTTGGTTTCTGGCTATATTTAAAGCCAGATTATATTGTATTTCAAATCTTCACATCAATGACAGCATCTTCTTGCTGGGCAAACCAAGCCTAGAAGAGTGATGGCAAAAGCTTAGACAGCCTATAAAAGGGTTCAATTTTGCAAGACTTTTTGCTGAAGAATATTTCCAGACAACATTTGTAAAGCTATAATCATCCCATTCAGAGTCCCATAAACTAACTATGAACAGGCTTCCATATACTGATGTTCTGTTGATGTGGACAGTTTTAGTCCATTAAACCTACATTCAAATAACAGACAATAAGATCTGTATTACACCCGTGGCCAATGAAGTCTAACTTGTCCCTGGTTGGACCTACAGAAGAATACATTCGGCAAAAGCCTTGTTATACGTTTCAGAAGTTTCTGAATACAGACAGGCTTCAAGTTTAGATTCACAATATTTACAATGTGAACATACCAAATGTCCACATGAAAAGGAAAATAGCATATCATGAGTCAAAGGAATAGCTGCACAAAAAGACACTTCATTTATATTGCACTCATGGTTTTTTTTCTTTTGTAAAGGGTGATATATGGTTCTGTCCCCTTCCACTGCACCTGTCCTTTGACTTCTTTTGAATGGTACGAAAATACAGTAGTTTTAGATGCCAAGAACTATTAACATTCACAATAGGCAGGAAACTGCGTTTAAGTTCTCTGCCGGAGGTTTTCCCCATCCTGTTCATGACATGGAATCACAAACAGCCTCGTTTAAGAAGGCTGCTCTTACCCATGGATGCATTAGTAAGGTGAGACAGTATTAGGAGGAAGAGACTGGCAGTGTCAAAAGCCCTGTTAAAAATATCTCTGACGAGCAGTCAGTGGGACCTGGTGACCCTGTCACATGTACAGAGGGCAGGAATGTGAACTTCCCTGCCATGATGGCAGTCAACAGCAGCTTCTGGGAACAAGGTTAGAGCAAAAAGTTAAAGTGCCAATTAAAATGTTTCAGTAGATTACCCTCCCTCCATAAAGCATAACACTGGGTGCAATACAGCAAAGTGAATGAGAAACTCGGAAGTGGATCACAAGAAGCTACCATACCTAGTGCTTTTCAGATCAAGGAAGAGAGACAACTGTCCAATCCCACCCCTTAAAAATTCAAGCCCTCTATGAAACGACACGACATGTCATGCCTTGGATCTGCTGCAGTTTGAGATCAAACCCACCTGTGAGTGCAGACAGCCAAGGGTAGAAGCAGCTCAGAAATTAAATTCCAGGGGCACCTGAAATACTCTCGGCCACACCGTTATATTGCATTTTTAGGTTTTATACACGAGCATGTTTATTACCAACAAAGCCTCAACACAAACTTCCCCTAAAATATGCATAATTTATTCTATTTCAAATATTTACAAGCAGAAAAATCCCATCTTTAAGACAGATTTCTTCCCGCTCCATATAAAATGCAGCTCTCTCATTTAAGGCAAATTTATGTGAAATATAAAACATGGGTTTGTCTATCTGTACACAAGTTCTAATTTAAAGACAAAAACTCCCTTTAAAAGGGAAAGATGATGTCGGGCAACAGTTCCTAGTGTAGTTTGGGATCTTTCTGGATTTTTTAAGGAAGTCCCTACCATCCATTATGCCATAGATAACTTTTTTCAAGTTTTTAAATACCTTAAAAGATTGCAAATTAAAAAGGTGGCAATGTGTACACTAAGTTAGCGCCAAAGATTAGTAGAACACCGAGGAAAGTGCAGATGTAGCTTTTGCTTATCTGTTTTCAATAGCTACAGCAAGTCCACCAATACTGCATTTTTAATATATGTAGGCTATACATCTAAAGCTAATCTCAGTTCTGGTAATGAGTATTTTTCATCCCCATCTGTATCAAATTCCTTAAAGCTCTGCAACTCTTGTATTGCAGAGCCAACCAGACTTTGAAGATCATCATAGGTTAGTTTTCCATCCGAGTCTTGATCCAGCTTTTTAAACAAATCCAGAAGATCTGCAAAAAGGACAAGTTAAGGATCAGGCACTTCAACTGCACAAAGGGAACTGTACAGGCTCTTGCTCCAGTTTCACTACATTATATCATACTAGTTTACAAAACTAAATAAAGCGTCTTATGATGGAATTTGTTCATAAGCTGGGCAAAATAAAAACATCAAACAGCCACAGTATGTAGATCAGCAACTTTGGGAATTTAAATAGCAGGATTCAACGCAAAGACCTGTGGATTTTGTTCAGTTAAAACCCACCAAGTAAACCTGAGTTCAAAAGAAAATAATTACTATTCCTAATCAGATGTTCTGACCCACCCCCTGCAAGTAAACATTGATAAAAACGAGGACTTTGCCTTCTACGATGGAAGTCCTGAGGTTATTATATTGAAGATGTAGATCACATGGAAGGACGAGTATTTCTACTGTGCTCTACATATTTACTGAAGAGCTAAAACATTATAGGCATGCCAGTTCAAGCACTGGTTAGATCTAGAAACCACCAGTTCCATCCAATAGCTATTTCTCTATTCCAGTTGCCTCCTGCTCCCTAGACATCTTCACTCCTTGCTACCTTTTTCTCTTCTCCTCTGCCATGAGAGCCCTTCAAATCTCAAATAGGCTTCAATTATTCTGTTTACACCTTCCCTTTCAAAACTACTGTTCCATATTCTGCCTCATCCTGGTTATACCAGACCTTAGGTAGCTATGGATGTGCTTTTATAAGTCACAAGGCACTTTACTTACAGGAAGTGTTTATGAAAATTAAGACAAGGCTAAAACAGACATACCTTTTGTGCTGGAAATTCCTGGTAAGGACAAGTGCCTTGGCTGTCCATTTTCTCCCATGTTGCCACCAACTGATCTCGATGCAAGTCTGGGAGGATCTGTAGGCTTTGATGTAGTCTGAGCTTTTCCCGCTGTTTAGAAATTCGTTTGCATTACTCTTTTTATTTTTAAGAAACTAAAAACAGCAATAAATTGGGAACAAGATAGCTTGGCAAGGCATACATACACACGTACGTGTACACACACACCACCACATACGAAGGCCTCTCATATCTTTAAATATATAAGTTTTAAAGAGGCCTTCGTATGTGGTATGGAACGAAAGAAATGAGTTTGTCCATCTTAGCAAGGATTTGTTATACATGTTGAAGTTTCAGTAACAGAATAACCCAAATAAACTATTCTGGAGAATATCATTTTAGTATATTTTGTTAGATTCTTTCATAGTTTGTAATGCTTCATGCTATATAAGAAACACGTATTACTATGCCATGTACTGACAACAAATACTTTGTAATACAACAAGCTCCATAGGTGAATGAGATTTTATAGCCATCCACTTCAGGCTGCCTTCCTGTACAACATGTAGTGACAGGTCTAGATAAAGACAGGACTGCTCTGATCTGGTATGGCAACTCCTGTGCACACTGCACAATATTTTGTGACTCATTTTACCCAGTAAATGAGAAGAGAGCCTCTCTGGGTCAACATGATCAAAATCTGCTGATTTGCCAAATAAGAATCAGCAAGATTCTGCAGGGAAGGGCAGAGCCTTGATATATAAAACATGTTGGCACTGCCCCAGGCTAGAACAGCAAAGACTGAAGGTCAGGATACAGACACACCAGTCAAGTTGTAACATTTCCCTGCATTATGCTGAACTTTATAGGCGTGCTATGATTTATCGACCCAGCATACTTATTCATTCTAACCTTCCTTATGAGCCAGAGCAGTAAAAATGACTTCAAGACAGTCTGACAGATAATTAAAACTTTAACATTTCAGTCCATGCCTGTATGTTTCCATAATTCTGTTTATGTAGAAAAAGTAAAATGCTTTGCAGCATATTAGGGATTCTGCTAGGCACCACCTGAAAAGCCCATTTCATTTCTCACAGTTTGTCTCTGTCCAAGCAAGAGTTTTAGTGCCATCAATTTCTCACTACTTAAAAATGAATATACTGAGGCCACTTGAGCAACATCCTATGAAAACACTAAGTTATGTTTCTCCATTACTTATACGTAGAGCATACAGTGAACTTTCAGTTGTATGGGCTACTATTACACAGAAGAGTCTCACCATTCACTGATGCCTCAAGAGGCTTCTCACTTTCTGGTTTGCTTGTTAGAGCGTTGATCAGCTGAAGCTTCTCTCTCAGATTTTCAGGTATTGAAACCAGAGTTTCTGTTTTCTGCACAAAGAGAATATGCTTCTTAAATAAAAAAAAACAAACAACCTTTCTTCAACAGGTGCAGCACAGCAGGAAAGACATTGCAACAGATTTGTGTACTTCTGAGTTATTACCATACTTTCAGGTCAATTAAGTTTTAGCTGGTTAAGGTGATAAATCTTCCAGGTCCCATATCAGGACTTAGCATAAAAAGAGCAGGCGCACACAGTTTCAATGCGTTCTTGGTTTCTAAAAGAATAGCCAGTTAACATCTAATGCTGATTAAGGTTGACCTTTACCGTTTCAATGTAACATGTAATAAACAGCTGGAAGATTAGTGGAGCTGCAGAGAAAACAAATCATTTGAAGTAGTTCTCAGCATGTGTACAGCACTTATTTGCGTGGGATGCAAGAGCTGGGTTACTAAGTCGCTGTGAAGTGCCTGCATCGTACTCTCTTTGGAGTTCCATTTTTGCAGCTAGCATCCATTGTACTCATTATTTCACAGCACACATGGGATTTAAACTGCAGCTTCAAGCTGAAACTACTCAGTTGAACCTGGGGTCTTGCTTAACATCATGTCAACTCACTAAAATGTTGTAGCTGACAAAGTCATTGTAAGACTTTAAGAATACTTAGATTAACTTTTGCAATAGCCTCCCACTTAGCGTACTTATTTATTTCCCAAGTCTCCTTCAGCTTTGACATCTTTGTCGAGAGCAACTTTTGTGGTATGTTATAAACAGAGGAAATAATGAGGGCTAGATCCTGCAGCTCTTCCTCACATATGTACTCCTACAGGAGAATACAAAGTAGCAAGACCGCCCAAGTGTTTTCCACCTCAGCTTGCTTTCAGTCTACTCACTGGTGTTGGCAGGTTGCTTACTGTCACATTTTCATTAGCAGTATGTATTTAGATCTGACTGATCCAAATGCCTATGTCAGGGGATAGCAACCTTTAAGCAGTGGCAGGCTGAATTAACAGAGCTCAGGCTAAGGTGAGGTACTACATGCCACCACCATTCTAGCCTTATGGGCTAAATAAAATCCCCTTACAGGCCAGTTCCTGCCCACTGGCTGTAGTTTATTTTCAGATAAATCTGACTTAAGTAAGCATCCAGTGCTGTGGGGTCTGCTAATCTTTGATTTCAGTTTTCCTTTTTTACCTTTGCATTCTGTGCTTTATCTGAATCAGTTCCATTTGCCGACTGATCTTCATTTTCTACTTTAGGAAAAGTACCTGCATCATCCACCTGCAGGGAAAAAAAAAAACAACAAGGAAATTAGAAATTGAGACATTTGAGTGAGGTCTTCTGTAATGCTTTTTGCTTTCTTCACACTGGACAGGAACCTGCAGGACAGGAACCTGCAGCTGTATAGACAGGAAACAACATATAATGTACAGGCTGGAATCAATTCAAAGGTTTCAGGCTGGAGCTACAGAAGCACAATTCTGCTTCCAGCATTCAAAATCCTGAAGATTAAGCTTTGTGTATTTAAATTGCAGATGTCACATACGACATTGTGAGTTGTACTTTATGCACCTTCAGAACTAAATTTCAGCACCGAAGTGTATGACTTAACATTAATGGGACAACTAAATCCCTACATGCTGTGTAGCATCAGTATATCCTTTGCTGCATAGTACACAGAATACAAATTGTAAGGAACAAGCCCCTCAAAGTGTCTACTTTGGACATTTCTTTAAGCTTGGCGTTTCCCAGTGCAGCTGAAGGCTTCGCTAGCCTCTCGCAGATGTGAAAATGCTACACAGGAAGCAAACTCAGCCATTCAAACCCCTATATGACAACCAGGCACCTGTGATAACCGAGTACTCACCGAACTGACAGATGAATTCTCTCTCTTTTCCAGTTTATTCACAGCATCCAGGTAGTTTTCTAACAACGCAACTCTTTGAGTTAGATTACTGATTGCAGAATCCACATTAAGAAACTTTAGGTCGTTCTGCTTTTGGTACATCACTAGGGTGGTATTTATCTCCTCTAAAGTGGTGTACAGGTATTGGTTATCCTGAAATAAAAACCAGAAGCTGTTGTCCACAAGTGACTGTTTAGAACCAATGCAACATTATTTCAGCTAGTGAAACACTAACTGCCCCAGTTTAATCCAGCAGACTTCTCCGACTAGCCTCAGACAAAGGCAAATTGCTTTGTATTCGGTACTGGCTCAACTCTTCCTGACCACCAGAAAGTGACTCTAGCCTTCATAATTTGAAAAGGATTTCTCAGTGTTAAGCTAACTGATGACAGTAATAAAAAATAATAATAATAATAATAATAATAATAATAAAAGATGATTAGAGCTGCCTGGAAATTAAAGTGTTAACCTGTTTTGGGCTGGCTTCATTAGGACCATTACCAATAGCAACTGCGTAGCCAGAATTTGTGCGATGGGAAGAGCTTTACAAGATTTCCCTCTGACATCAAAACTGCTTGAATTATAAACAGATGCTGCATAAATACAATGGATCCACTCCCATCTAAATTTATGTACAATTCACTTTTCTAAATGCTTGTTTCCACAGCTTACCTCCAGAGCGATTCATCCACACACCACTGCTTTTGTTCAATTTGACAGGCAAGCACCTACCATTAAAGCCAGTTCTATTTTAAGTCTTCAACTCAGTCACAAGTTTCACAAGAAGAACAGGATGAACTATTGAGTCTTTCTAATACACCCACCAAGTAAAACAATGCAAAACACCACTTAATTGAACACTAAGACTCTTGTCTACTTAGAACAGGTTTTCTACGTATACAGGAAAATCCTACAGTAAGATCCTTTATTTGGCTCTCTCGGATGCTATTCAAATTCAACCTTGACATGAACATAATGCACAATATCACCACAGTGAGCACAAAGGTTAAATATCACTAATAATTTTAACAGTTGCAGAGCTGCTGGCATTTAAAGAAAGAAATACCTGCTTGCACTTCCCAGTCTGATTTCTATCGTTTATTCCTGGTGTGACAGTGGAAGAAAGTGAAGACACCTGTTTTTCTCTATTCTCTTTTGTGTATTCATTCTGACCCAAGAAAAAGGAGAAGGCATGTTAAACAAATACCTTGTTACACAACTGAATTCTTGAGGGAAAACAGCTTATGGTATGTATTGATTAAATACCTAATTAAAGTAGAAAATAACAACATGGATATTGGAGATTTGTCTTTAAGCGCACAACTGGGATGACAAGCTCAAAATTTAACTTAATACAAATGAAAGGAAATACCAACAAATTAAATAACTCTATGGAAGTTGCTCATTTCTGTGTTGACTAACATCACCAGGAAGTTTCTGGTCTGTGATCAATTTTTAGTTGTGCATCTTAATTTGGGCCAGCAACCCCCAAATACACCTCATAGCACTTTCCTAGTATATTCACAACCCCCTGGTTCTTGTGCAAAGCATCTCTGTAATTGTCCCTTCTGAATAGTGCAAAGGACAGAGAACCTTGTGAGACCCCCTACCAAAGCAATGGGAAAGCAATATTTCAGATACGGCAACCTGAAGGTAAGCTCCAGAAATACTGTCCCTAAAAAAAAAAATAAGTTCTTGTAGCTGTAGCATTAATGCCACATGACTTCTACTAGCTATTGTTGTATTGCTACACTTACACAGATCTAGAAAAATATTACACAGGTTACACAATACTGGATACTATTTAGGGGTGCACCGATATATCGGTTAGCTATCAGATCGGCACTGATAAAAGGAGAAATGATGTCATCAGTTATTGGCTTTTTTTGGTTGCTGCAGCCGAAACAATGGCTGTGTCCAGAGCACCCTGGTGAGCATAGCCCAGTCCCCACGCCCCACAGCTGGCCTGGGCCCACGATGGACTACAGGTCCCGGTGAGGAGCAGGAGGGGGCACCATGCTCAGCAACAAAGGGATTGCTACCAGCTCCTGCTGCTGCTGCTATGGCAACACCACAAGAAGCAGGGGCCTGAGCACTGGGACTGCCACGGAAGCACTGGACTATGCGCAGGTGGAGTAAGGTGCCGTGCGAGGGACATTCTGCTCCACTGGGCACCTTTGCAAAAGCGGCTTCTCCCCAGTGGCTGACAGCGCTGAGGCAGCAGCACGCTCTGGGGCTCCAAACATGCCCGGCGCTGCTGTGTGCGTAGTTTAAAATGCCTTGCACTATCACTAAATATTATTTATCGAATGGGCAATGGCTAAGGTGGTTGGTTAATCATCGGCTATCGGTATAGGCCAAGAAAATCTTTATTGGCACACCCCTAGCACTATTCTTATTAAGAGCTGTTTCAGATTACATGTTCTTACCATATTGTTTTGGAGCGTTTCTATGTTTTTCCTGTGTTCTTCAACTGCAGTCTGCATAGTCTCAACATCATGATGAACGCTGGTTAAGGTGCTACCTATGGTAGCTACGCTCTGAAAACAAAAACAGGAGCCGTATAATCTCAGCCAGGCCTGACTGTACAAGTTGAAAGTCCTTGACTTGAATGTCTTAATGGAATGTCAGACAGCCAGACTGCAAGGCCTATGTGATGAAATGGGGAATTCCAGTTGCAAGTACAGACCACAAGTCATTCTTTATACAGTCTCAGGTCAAAACTTTTGATTCAACTCAGCATGACTGATAGAGCTTCCACCTCCACCTGGTAGATATTCTTCTGTTTCTATATGGGCAGCTTATAGGGAGGTATAAGGGCATGAGAATCCTGAAATAGTGACGATGTTCCTGGGCTATAAAGCTGTACAACAAAATGTAATTTGTACATTTGTGCGTGTGTAGGTTTGAGATCAGTATCTTGGCACTGAATAGCAACCATTTTCCACCACACCATTATCTCAGACACTATCAATGTTGTGATCCCCCCACTTCCCTCTTTGCCAATAAACCTAGCAAATGCATGATGAAGGCTATGATTAATGACACTTGCTTGAAGGGTAAAAAATAAAAAAACATCACCTCCTGTGCAGCCCCTCATGTATGGGAAGAGCTGCCTGGTAATATCCCAAGCTAAGCCCTACTCAGGAAAACTCAGTGGCTAGAAAGCAGATGCATTAAGCTGACCAACTGCATCTCAGTATTTCCTTGGGCTCATTCCTGTGAATCCAATTCTTGCCTCTCACCTTAAGTATGCTTTGCAGGAACCGTTTTATCATGTGCTGAACTGCACCTTGCATAACTGAGCCCTCATCCAAGTAGGTGTATGCTCTCCAGCCATCCAACTATATATGTTCCATTTCACATGATCTCTTTGATCATTATTAGAACTATCCACATTCATTTTCTTAAGTCTCCTCTGATTCTTACTGCCCAACTCAATTAGGACATAGTAGGCAAAGGACCTTCTTCTACCGCTTCCTTTTGTAAATCCCAACAAATAGAAACAGACGCTCTTTCTACCCTGAAGAATGTCAGGACCCCAAGGTTAACGTTGCATCACCAGAGCTTTCACCACTTGCCATCAACCACAATCAGCCACTCTACAGAGGGAACTCTGCCAAAGAGTATTCTTCTTCAGGCCTGCTGAACTCTGGAAAAAGAGCTCCCTATTACCATCACAGACAACACTTACTGCAGAGGCAGCTTAAAATACTCCTAAATCCTAGAAAAGGGATAATAACCATTCCCTATAATGGAAGGCTAGCCTCAAGACAGAACATTAGGATCTCTGCATGCAGTGTTTTCACAAGGCAGACAAGCTTCATTGGGTAAATGCGATATATTTATAAATAAAATATAAATAGTTGGAAAAATTGTTCTTTGCAAGCTTTTGGGTGCAAGCACCGTTCTTCAGGCAAAGTCTGCAGTTGTTTTATGCTCTACTATGCTGCAACACACACAGCAGAGGTGAAGGACACCAAGTTTAAAATTTCACCTCTTTACTGTCAAACCTAAGTGCTATTAAAATATTTTTATTTAATCCCCTGTAATGTTTTTCCAGCACTTATCCTTTAATAAAAGCATAATGGATTCCCTGGAAGGGGTCCAGCTTTCCTTTCATAACAATGAACGTATGAAGTTTAAGAGTGAAAGCAAAATGACATCAGAAAATGGAAATGCATGCTACTACTTCTAATGTCTCATCCTAGGATCAGAAATGGTTGGGCCTCAAGCCCCAGATTTTTCAATACTGCCTTCAGGGTCTTTGGGCACATCTAGTTAAAGTCTAAGCTTGGTAGTTTCAACATAAAACTGCAGCTGTGCCATGCCATTCAAACTCAAAACAATACTGGCTGGTGGAACCCGTAGCTCCTGTAAGTCACAGTTTTGCACTACAGATGTCAGGAAAGCATTAGAAGAGGCACCAATCCTCTTTGTCCACCTTGGCACCTCTTGGAAAACTACTTGAGTTACCTCTGGTAGAGTTTTCTGTAGATCTCTCACCTGCTGGGTATGAAAAGAAGGTGGCAAGCTAGAACTAGTTCTCTCCCCAACACCCTAACAGAATAAACTACATTCTGCCAGCTCTTTACCACAGTCATCTGCTTGATCACCGCATTCCCACCTCCTGTTCTCAAGACATGCCCACAGACCTCTAGCCCACTGAAGGTAGACCTATCACAAAGGGCCTATTTGTGCTTTTAGCTATAATGGAAAAAAAAAAAGTTGGGGCTCCTCTGTTCAAAGAACAAATGGGCTTCCTCATTTTGAGAAGAAGCTCAACTAAAGCATGAAATGCAGAAAGCATTAAACTAATAGAAGGTAATGTATACTTATTATGTGCCATCAGTTGCTTTTTCTTTCAAGGGATTATAAGCTACATGGAAATGGCCTGCTTTGTTCATTTAGAGTATGCAAAACGGTGTAACTTTAGAGCATTTAAAGCCATTCTGAGAAGTCTTGCATTTAAAAATTTTAAAGCCACTAATCAATTTTATTGACTCATAATATTGTGAACATCATTAGAAAATAGCAGACATCTAACTTGGAAATTCTGATTACAGTGTGCGCACTATAGTTGCTTTTCATAATTTTTTTACCAAGCTTACATTAAACAAAACACTACAAATGATCTCACAGTGCTGGCTCACTCTTTCAGGCAAATAATTTTCCATTTATAATTGTTCTTAAGTGTCAGTATAAAAAACCTCCAAAACTATAAGTGGAATTATGCTGGGAAAATCATCTTAATCTTCATAACAAGTGATGTAATTCCATTATATACTGATGAAAGTTAAATGAAATACTGATTCAGGGCTGCAAGGATAACACTTTCAGCCAAGTCTGTTAAAGGTCCCCCATGGTCTAAGAAAGGTTACTTGCTTCAAAGCAAGGTGACCCCTCCCCCATGGAAGAGACACATTGTTATAGTACATCTTTTTTGCTTAATTCTGTAGACATGGGTTTTCATGGATAATCTCCCCACCATGTTCTAGTTTACATGAACTAATAATCATTTGGTGCAAAGCCACATGAAGTGTATCTGAAAGAATTTCCACTTAAAAGCCAAGCTAATGGTATTTCATAGACTCATAAAAGAGCAGGTCTGGAAGGGGCCTCCAGAGACCATATAGTCCAACCCCCTGCATGAGGCAGGATCATCCCTATCCAAAACCATCCTAATAAAGATCCACTGTCTAACTTGTTAGCAAAATGAGTCAACTCCGATACACCCATAGGACATAACACCCTAACTTGCCACAGGTAAAGCAAGGGGGCAATGTTTTGATGCTACAAAGGTTGTTACAATATGCAAAAGAGATCCAAGGAAGGCGAAGCGAGGACAGCATGACCACTGACTACAGGGGTAGGCAAAATCCCCCACAGCCCGTATCAGTCAGATCATGATGTAAAATTCCTTCCTGACTCCAAACGTGGCAACTGGTCTGACTCAAAGCAGAGGGACACGACCCTCTCACCAGGAACCTCCAGGTTTTAGTCCCAACAAGACCAATGGCACACCTTGGCCCGAAACCCCAGCCCTGACTGTGGCCAACATCCAATGCTTCTGAGGAAGGCAAAAACCCTGCCATGTAGCAACAGGAGGGGAAAACACTTCTTCCTGGTCCCATGTGGCACCCAAAGCCCAGAAGCATTGGAAATACTCAGAGTAGAGCATAGGCATAGCTATGCCTAGATGTTCTCCAACTAATGCTCGTCTTTTTTAATACCTTCAACGATGGAGATTTCATAACATCCCTAGGCAATCTATTCCACTGCCTTACTGTTTTAATAGTAAAGAAGCTTTTCCTGATATCCAAATCTAAACCTACTTTGTTGCAACTTCAAGCCACTGATCCACCTGCAGCCTGAGAGAAGAGGTGTTCTCTTTTTTTATGGGCAGCCCTTCAGGTATCTGAAGGCTGCTAGGATGTCTCTTCTTAACCACCTTAAACACTCGAGAGGCCTAACCAGAGCTGAGCAGAGAAGCACCATCACCTCCCGCGTCCTGCACTTAATACTTCTCTCGATGCATCCCAAAATGGCATTAGCCTTTTGTGCAGCTGTATCATACTGCAGACTCGTATCAAGTCTGTGACCTACCAGGGCTCCCAGATACTTCTCCAGAGTGCTGCTCATTTTAAATTTATAATTATTCTCCCCGAGGTGCAGCATCTTGCATTTGTCAGCACCGAACTCCATCCTGTTAGCTCAAGCCCAACTTTCCAATCCATCAAGATCCTTCCTAGTTGCACTCCTGTCCTCCAAAGTGTTCACACTCCATCCCAGTTGCGTCCAAATCTTTACTAAACACATTGAACAGCACTGGACCCAGGACGGACCCCTGTGAGATTCCATGTGAAACCCCCTGCCATTCTGATATGGATCCATTTATAATTAACCTTTGCTTGCAGCTCCAGCCAGTTGTCTCCGCACCTTATAGTAGTTTTGTCTAACCTACATTTTCCAATTTTGTTTATGAGAATGTCAGGTGGGACTTTGTCAAAAGCCGTGCTGAAGTCCAGACACTCTCTCTTAATCTACTCAAGTACTTTGTTAAAGAAGGAAATCAAGTTTGTTTGGCATGATTTGTCCCCAGTAAATCCATGCAAGCTACTTGCGATCAGCCTTTCCTGCTCCAGCTGCTTGCAAATACGACTTCCCTATCATATGCTCCAGTAACTTCCCAAGCATTGCAATGAGGCTAACTGGTCTGTAGTTCCCCAGGTCCTCCTTTTATGCCTTTTTTAAAGGGCACTACATTGGCCCTTTTCCAGTCATCAGATATCTGGCACATCTTTCATGATTTAATGCACATTATTACCAAAGGTTTCAAGATGTCCTCTGCCAGTTCCTTCAGTACCCTGGGATGAAGTTCATCAGGCCCATCAAAAGCTCTGTCTCTTATCTCATCCCTCATTTTGTCCCCTTGCTTATCCACATAATCCCCATTAGCTGTTTGCTTAATTTTTTTGTGAAAGCGACCGAGGCAAAATGGCTTTCAAGCAGCATTCTGTTAAGACGCAACCCTGGCTTTTTAACAGTGAACCAAGGAAGCTGTGGGTCTTTCTTTTTTGGCAAACATACTTATAGAACTTCTGCTTGTTGTCTTTCACCTCCCTGACCAGGTGCAGCTCATTTTTTTTTATTTTTTTTACCTGTGCCTCCCTGATTCTGTCCCTGGAGGTTCTTGCTATTTTCTGGTACACCTCCTTGGTGACCTCCCATTGCCTGTACATTTTTCCTTTTGCATTGGAAGCATCGTATAAGCTCCTTGTGCAGTCACATTGGTTTCTTACTATTCTTATGCTTCCATCATGCCAAACAGTTTCCTTTTGGTTTTCCAATACTGTACCCTTTAGAAACTCCCAGCCCTCCTGGGCACCATATCACCATGCTTATTAACTCTTTTCATATAGGTATAAAGTTCAGAAATTCCTGAAAATTTGTAATGGGTTCTGTAATTAGCTGCTGTTCAGTTATAGTATGTTGCCAATTAAAAGCTACATTTGCAATACTTACCTTCTGAAGTTCCTCTACTGTGACAGGAAGGTTAATCAAGTCAGCAGCAGACTTGATATTGGCTTTGAGGTGATTTACTGCTGAAGTCAACAACAAGATCTACAAAGTAGAGAGAAGGACTTATAATTAGTAAAGACATGAGAGCTCCTTGTTTTGATCTTCCCTAACCCTAACGACTTGCAACTCATGACCGAACTTAACCAAGAAATAAAAGTGGCTAGTTGGGGCCACATGCTCTTCTTGCAAGTGCACAGAATCCCCAGTTCAATCAGTCATCACCATCATCCAGGCAAAAAGAACAGGCAGGTCACCCTAACGTTTGTGGCACAAATGAACCCTTCTCATAAATCAAAACTCAACTCCAAAAGTTCATTGGCTAGGGCCTTGAAAGTCACAGAGCATCTTCACCACAAATCTTTGACTTCAAAAGGCGGAGCTCATAGTGACCCTATCAGACTCCCTAGAATGCTTTTGTTTAGATGAATAACACCCTAACATTATTATTATTTTTAGAAAGATCTGCCCTTCACTTGCATATTAAATCTGCTCACTAGAGTTGTGAAAAGTCACTTGTTGTATTAACAGATTGTTTAAAAAATATAAGCATTTTCTCCATTTCCTCCAGGTTTCATACAAAATTAGTTTTTATTTAATTTACCAGAAAACAAGAAGAGAGCAACTGTTTGGATGGAGACGGATGTGCCTGAAAATAGGACCTATAAAAAGGAAATACCATCTTACATTATTCGCAAGACCAGAGACACAAAGAAACTGTAATGCCTTCTGCATTAATAGAAACTCTTTAAAAAAAAAACCACACATCTTCAAAACTGGACACTTCCACTCTGGATATTTTTTCATCCTTTCAATATTCAACAAATACTTTGTTGTACTGTGACTACCGCTTCGGATATTTTTCAGACATTTTTATGTCACATGGAAGTCACCTAAGCCAGAAGAGCAAGAAAATGAATGGCTAAGTTGTTATAGAAGTTACCTGTGATACAAGAAATGTGGGTTCAGCTTCCTGCCCTGTGTGACTTTAGGCAGGTCACTTTAAAGCCAGGTACTGAAAGGTATTAAGCACTGATCTCCATGGTCAATCAAGGGGTTTAGCACCAAAAACACCTTTTGGGATCCAAGTCTTCATCCCTCTGACTCAGTCCTGGAAAATGGGGATAATAGCAACGCTCTTATGCCTTCAAAAGTTATTAAGAGGCATTCTGATACTAGTATGATGGGCCCAAACAGGTCATCAATAAGAATATACTGAACACCATTGATCTACGATTTCTACTGTAAGTTATAGATAGCTGTAAGCCACCCTGAACCTTTTTGAGGAGGGCAGTATACCCAAATAAATAAAACAGCGCTACTACATTAAAAAAACAACAGCTCCATTCCTTACATTCTGTTTCAAATGTTGCTCCAGCTGTAAGACTCAAAGCTAATGCCCTTCATCTTTGTTTTCAAGATAGTTTTTAGTCTGTATTTGCCTGTTTCTATAAGCTCCCCACAAGAGATTAAAAATTACATAAGCAAGCAACTTTTGAAACCAGGAAATGCACATATTTGGTCACTGTTCTCGGGAACAGGAAGACACAACTCTGCTGTCTCCTCCCTTTAAAGCATGCTTCTAGTACTCGCAAAATGCAAGTCAGGTGCATAACCCAGCCAAAAAACTTGGTTACAAAATTAGGACAGTTAAAATCTGAGAGAGACAGAGAGACAACTTAGCTCACAGGTAGGTTAGAAGCAATGCAACAAAAGATGAGTCATTAAAAAGATGAGTCAATCAAACTGGCTCAAAAATATAACTTATCCCAAGTTACAAGGCTGGCAATTAGTAAGTAAGCGTCTACAAGTTGTAATCATTTGCTAAAGATTCCACTTTAAAAGCAGTTCATAGTCCCTTGCAGTACAAAATCCTTCCAGGTGACATTTGATAACCTCCAATTGTTAAACAGATGAACTCACCATGTTTCAATAATAATTATAAAAAATGACTAAGTGGTTTCTCACACAGAAGAGATATTAATCCTGCAATAAAGTAGACCTCAATTAGCTGGCTCACTACGTCTACAGCTGCACAGATGCAAATTGAAGATATTCATGGGGTAAAGCTGAATTCTCAACACTTATTTTTTGAGACAGCTTTCCTCTGCAGCTTAGGAAATTAGGAACAGTCAAATTAAGATCCAGCCTAACTGACCAAACTATAAAATCCTGTAAGTGACTAATGCCAAATGTCAGATTCTTTATAAAGTTTTGTAATTACCTAAAGATACAGATTGGTGCTTAGTGGACTTCCTTAAAAAAAATCCCAACAGATGTTTATCTTTATCTGTAGTCACTTTGGGTTAGATTTTTCCAGTTACTTAGGTGACTATCTTATCCAATGCAAATGGTTTTTAAAAGCAGTCAGTTTCACAGACTTATGGTATATCTCTACCCTCCCTCAAAACTGATACCCAACAACTATGCTAAGATTCTTACCAACCAGTTTTAATTTGGAAGGTTGATTAAAATTTGATCTGTCAAAGGTTCAGATACTCAGCTTCACTGGTTTCCTGCCCCAAGCAGGCGAGCTGGACTCAATCTTGTAAAGTCCCTTCTAGCCCTGAACTTCCATGGATCGGTGACTTCAAATAAGTTATGACATGTACCACCTGATAACCTAGCTCAGAACGTGCATCAGGATGTTATCCATTAAGACAAAGAGCACTTTGTTTATCTTTGCAATACTATAAACTTGGATTATGATTTCGGCATCTTTCTGCCCCTTCACCCTCTGTGGTAACCACATATGCCAATTCCCTTCTCTTAGGTTCCTATTTGGAAGCTGAACCCCCCAGCACACAGAGAAATAAAATGACAAGATTATATTACTCAAGAATATGAAAGCACCTGTCAGGTTTAGGCCGACTCATTTAATATTTCACCCCCAGCTGACCAAGGTCCAGTCATTATTTTTGATCCATTATAATATTCTCTGGGTGAATTTTTCAAAGCTAATGAGGAGATTTCCATTATTTTCAAGGAAAACATATGGCAAGTATAGCCACTCTCAACTTTGCTTTAAAAAGTTTGGCATCACTGGACATAAGGTCTGGCATTAAGTCCTTGGGGAAGTGGTTGAGAGTGTGCTTTTAAGTATTTGACAACTCACATTTACATTTTAGATGAAGCATAAGCACAGCTTAATTAGAAATATTTCAATATCTCAGATCCTTGTTTAGAATGATGCATTTGTTCATATTACCTGTTTATTGATTTCGGTAATATTTGTCCAAATCTTGTTTAGCCCCATGTCTCCAGTCTCGATTTGCTCTAGCTGCTTTTGCTTGTCAAGCAGATCTTCATTTAATTTAGGAATCTCTTGGAATGATGATTTTTGATTAGACTCCACTAAAAAACAGACACAGAAAAAAGAGAGCAAATTATCAAACAAGGTGTTTTATCATTAACATTTTTTACACAAGTCACAACCGATGACATTAAGAACATGGCACTGTCTGTGTACAAGGTGCTCAAGATCAATCAGAATAATCCTTTTAAAATAATGGCACTTTTCTAAATCTAATAGTATTCAGTGCTTACACTCTAGAGAGGGCATGACTTTGGAAAGGTCAACTAAGCTTGGTATTTTCTGGTAGCTTCATAATATTTTGGTGACCTTTAAAAATCTATTCATGTACACTGAATAACTTGTTGTTTTGTTATCAAAGCATAGTTATTTCATATAATCCAACTATGATACAGCACAAATCGCACAGGTTATAAGAACTGTATCACCATAGTGAAACACAAAGTAAAACTGGACTTCATTTCCAAGCATACAAATACGATTAATGACCATGATGAAAATTCCCAAAGAGATTATGGTGATTTCCAGTCACATGACAGAATGACAGAGTACTGAACACAGTTAATACCACAAACAAACTGCTTTTACTTGTATATAAAAAGTGTGCCAGTAAAACAAATCGACAAACAGCAACTTTGTCCTGAGTATAATGATTTGGAAATAAAAATCAAGTAAACAGTTTAAGAAAAAATAAATGAGAGAGGGAGTTTAGTAAGTTAGTTAGTTGTGGGAGTTAATTCCTTAAAAAAATAACAACCAAAAAACCTTGATTTTTTTTTTTTTTAATAACACATTAAAAAAGAGAAAACAGATCTCAGACCTAAGCAACCTATATAGATTTCTCATGGTCTCTTTTTTCCCCCCTATAAAAAAAAAAAAAAAAGGTTGTTTTTTTTCTTTTTAATAATTTCGAAAATAAGATATTTTTTAGTATATGCAGACTGGCAGATTAATTGGGTACTTCTAGATTATTCACTTAAATAGCTCACAAAGAAATGCGATAGCTTGCCATCCTCTTTATTAAAAATTTCAGGATGCCTTGCAGGTGAATATTACTGATTTCATACTTTCATTGGTGTTTCTTATCATTCACCTCAGTGACCCGCTTCAAATTTTTACACTGCTTTGAAAATTATTTTTTTAAATTTTATAATGATTTTTAAGCTTCAGTCAGCTGTCCATGGTGAAAACACTTGAGATTTTTAAAATGATCTACTATTAATAGTTAGATATTTTCCAATATTAAATTGTTATATTTGAGTGAAAAAAATAAGATGGTGTCAAAATCCTTTTGATAAACCTGGTTCAGCAATTAAAACGACAACTTATGTTCAGTTTGCATACTAGCTCCTAATTACAGCAAGTCCCCAAATACAAGATTAAAAGAAAATGGTTAATTAAGAGAAAAATCTTTGTGAGGCAAGAACAGATAGGGAAACAGATTTTTGTGGCCAGTTATAAAAGCATAAAGCAAAGGTGTCTGCTTTTCACAGAAATACTGTATTTATTCTCAATTCAATTCCAGGAATGTATAATGAGAACAATGAGATATTGTTAAACTGTAAAAGAAAGAAAAAATAAAGCAAGAGTGGTCTTTCTGATTAAAGCCCTTGAGTGGAACTCAGGAGGATGAGGGTTTCTTTCCAAATTCTGGGCCAGACTAACCTGTGTACCTCAGTGTCCATTTACAAGATATGGATATTAAAAGCTTCTTTACCAGTCTTTATCTGTCATATCTATTTAAACAGTTTCTACCTGCAAGAGGAAAATTTCTTGATTTGTTCCATATTCTGAGCAATAAATTGGAGCCCTGATAAACCTTTCCATGGCAACCCCCCCCACAAACAAACGTAGAACTGTTTTAAGTACTCTGATTTTTCCATCAATGGTCCTTGGGAGTGGATGATATAAAATTAAGTGTTCAATCAGGTTTGCAACATGACTACAAGTGAGAAAGTTTTTCCTAATATCCAACCTCAACTTCCCCTGCCGCAACTTGAGCCCATTGCTCCTTGTCCTGCCATCTGCCCCCACCGAGAACAGTCCAGCCCCATCCTCTTTGCAGCCCCTCTACAGGAAGTTGAAGGCTGCTATTAAATATCCTCTCAGTCTCCTCTTCTGCAGACTAATTAAGCCCAGCTCCCTCAGCCTCTCCTCACTAGTCATGTGCCCCAGCTCCTTAACTACTTTTCACTGCCCTCCGCTGGACTCTCTCCAATTTGTCCACATCCCTTCTGTAGTGAAGGGCCCAAAACTGAACACACATGCTCAAATATTAGTTTGATACCTTGCTCAGCACTATTTTGAATAAAATCCCTAAATCCAAAAACTAAAAAAAACCCAAACAAGCAAAACACAACAGTAAGTCTATAAATAAAACCCAATTTTCCTGAAATACAGAATTAACAGACAAACATGCTCATGCCAGCATTAAACAGGAGATGACTAACCAATAAGAAATATTAATCCTGGAAGACCAAGGTTGAACAAAACAAATTGCAAGTTATAGGAAGGTGCAAAAGCAGCTAACGTGGTACTGAAATGGTATAGACAGCACAAAAACTGGGACAGGATTGACGGAGAAGGCCAAAGGAACAAAACATCTTCCATTAATTTATTGCGGGGGGGGGGGGGGGGGGGAGGAGGGGAAATCAAGACTATTTTCAAACACAAAGGATTTTTCTTCCTTTTTTTTTCCCTCAAATGCTGCTGACACCATATTAAAAACCAAACAGTCTCAAAACCATGCTGCAATTCAGCATCTAAGGCACCATGAAACATCCCCCAGAAACTCTCTCTTGCACCATGCTGTCATATTGAATGAAATAGTTTGAATGTTTGTAATGGTTGCCCATTAGCCAGTTTCAGGAAGAAGATAAGATTTATCTCCTTATCTAGGTCATTGTTTTGGACTACTTGTGAAAGATCCAGACTTTGCTTAAAGTTTTAACTCTTGAATTATATCTTTAGAAATCTTTTACAAAGAGAACCTTAAAATGATCCTTAAGCAAATATCCTGAGTTCCGAGAGATCAAACCCTAGAGCCTTTTGACCAGATTGGTAAGAAAAGGTCACTTGCAGTGGTATGGACGTTCCCCAAAAATAATTAAGATGATCAACAAAAGAAACTAATTACTAAGCAAAAGAATCTGTTGAGTAAGATCCGAGCCCAAATTTGGGGGTAATGACAGGTTTGAGTAGGAGTGGCCCAAGACGGCAGCTCACTCAATAAAAACTGTAACCTACTCTCCCAAATTGGAGGTGGCTATACTTGCAGAACAATGAAGGAAGAATCGCAAGTGTAGGCCGGATCAGACCGATCACCTGAACCACCCTCTCCGTGAACACGAATCTCTTAGTTCACGCTGAAGCTGCAGAGAGCCCGAAAGGGACTGAAAGAAGGGGACTTAGTCCTATCAGTATTGAGGCCAGCCCATTGAATCGTATTGCTGAGACAAGCCCATTGAACTGTACTACTGAGGCATGAAACCATATTTAGGTGTTTGGCTTCTCGGAATTCTAGGATTGTAAGTATATTATGAAAAATAATAGCACTGATTCAAATTTAACTTTTAGTTGTAATTGTAGTTGTTTTTGGAATACTAATTCTTATAGCATTGTTTGGGAAGGAAGTGCATTCGAAGCTTTGTTTCTGATATATGTAATTATTGTGCTCTTAATGTTTGTGGTGTTTCTTAAAGCTAAGCAGTGTTATATACGTAGCAAAGAATTTTAAAATAAAATTGTGTTGTATAAATTAAGTGTGTAATCATTGTGAAATCGTGCAATCAACTAACTACTCTCCCAGCCAGTGCATCAAAACGAATCAGTAAGTTGTGTGGGATTTTCTCTATTCCATAACCCACTAGAGACGCATGCATACCAACTCCAGAAAACAAGGCAAATGTGGCTACCCAAGAGTAAACCTGAGCACAAACCCAGTGCTGCTCTAACGTGGTTCCACTGTCTCATATGACATGCTCAAAGTGGAGTAAGTGACAGGAAGAGCTTCATGCCAATACAGTTACAGCCTCAGGGAAATCTTTTCATGCTTTATGAGAATGATATCTAATTCTCTCTATGAAAGTCAACAGGCAGCTGAGGTGCTAACACTATCTAACCAGAACTTGTCAAGTAAATAGATCTGAAGCATGACACAGCATGCTTCATTATGCATGACTGCTTCTCCCAACAGCTACCATTACAAATAGACAAGTTAATGGATTAAAAAAAACAAAGAAAAATCCCAATACTTACTAGTTCGAAACTTTTCCTTTAGAGCATCCAGATCTTCCTTAAGGGCAACCTGCATCCACACTAAGCCAACGCAAGCTACCACGCAAGCAGCCAGAATGACAAAAGCACATAGTGGGTAACAGAACTTGCAGCATCGTAGGTATTCTCCCCTGAGATAAAAACAAACAAATGACAAAACGTTACTTATCAATCTGCAGAGGACGCCATAAAGCAATGTTCAAAACGTGGGTAAAACTGAAGTCAGTATAACTCAGGGGTGGCCAACTTATGGCACATGTACCACAAAGAAGATGGGAGGGAGGGCAGGTAGCACAGTGGCAGACAGGGCAGGAAACAGAGCAGCAAGTCAGGCAGAGAGAGCAAAGGGGAGGATGCAGAAAGCAAAGCAGCAGATTAGGCAGGGAGCACAGAGCAGGAAGATGGAAACAAAGAGGCAGACTGGGCAGGAGTGGCACTTGAGATGTGTGCAAAGCTAATTTGTGACATGCCTACCAAAAAGGTTGCCCCTCAATTATATAACTGATTCCCTAATAAAATAGGGCATTTGCTTTGGTTGTGATACATATTTAATCTTGGAAGTGAGCTTCCTTAAATCTGGAGTAACAGAACAAACAGTAGTGGGAAAAAAAACCCCTCATTTAAAACAGAATTTATAATACAATGAACTCCAAGACTGAAAATGGGTATTCCCACCATCCTTTGTTTAACTGTCATGTTTCCGCTTTGTAACTTTTCTACTCTATTACAATAGATTGACATTAAGGAAAAACCAAGTTCAAGATTTTGGAAAGGAGACATCAGCAAAGGGTCTGACAAGCAGTTTTTGTAAAAAAAAAAAAGCCAAACTTTCTATTATTGTTCCGAGCTGCAACATTCAGATTTTCATGATAGTATATTGCTTTGTTATGCTTAGACTTATAAATAATTATTACTTGAAATGAACAATTCATTTACCAACTTATAGTAGCAATTTAATGTAATAGCAGTAATGATGCATCGCAACGAATCTATAAACATAGAAGAGTAGATTATGAGCAGCGTGTACGTGTATATTTTGCAAACTGTGCTCAACTTGTCTAATCCCCGCTCTAATCCCACTTTATTACTCATGCTGGATACATGGTGACAAAACACAATACAACCGAAGCTACTTCAGGTTCATTTCTACCATATCCATTACGCACAATCATTTAACGAGGACTTTCTAAAGATTGTGTCGCCCATTACCGACTTTGTAAAAACAAAACAAGTGAAACCAACTTCCAGAATACCTTAAGTGAAGTTTATTGGATAATAATAATTATTATTATTATCCAATAAACTATAAATAATAATATAATTATTATAATTATTATCCAGTAATAACATTGGATAAGTTTTAAAGGAATCTCATAAACCGTCTGACAGGTAACTATGTCGCAAGGGTAACTATGTACTGCATTCATTAAGTAATGTCAAAAGAAGATGGAAGACGCACAAGAGGAAATGAGAAAACTCTTTTTTTCCTCAGAGGCAAAAAGGATAATCATTCTCTAAGCATTAAGAAAATAAAGGTGGTGTCTAGGTAAAAAAAACCCGAACGATTCATTATAAGCAGCAGACAGAAACCTACCATGCAGAGATATATACGCTAGGCGTATAACTGATTTGCCCGGTGTATGCAAAAGTGACATTTCTCTTGGAATCTGCCAGCAGTTTAATAAAAGAAGAAAAATTCACAATAACGGTGACCGTGTCACACAGCAGCACCGACACAGGGAAAAACAAGTTACCGGAAATAAGTGCACAGCAGAAAGACCGTACTGCCAACGGGACAGACAGCATTAGCTGGTGGCACATCAGTTACACTGGGGATACAAACAGGGTCTAAGAAAACAGAGGATAACGGTCGAGATTTTTGGAAAGAGGAAGCCCACGCGGAAAAAAATTATTTTTCTCTTTGCCCAAAAAGGCCTGAACTGGCAATGAAAACACAAAATCAAGATTTGACTTGTACATGCCAGTGGTTTTCAACTTTTTTAGGCTCGATGAACCCCTCTTTCAATGCGAGCTGACTCCCGGAAGAGGTCAGCTCTTCGTTTTCACTCATTTTTGAGCCGCCAACACCTCAGACAGCAAGCGCGCAGCCCGTCAGGGGCGGCTGCAACACGAGGGACTTAACCACCCCCTTCACCCCAGGTTTAGGGCCGAGTCCCCGGGCTCACTTGGCGAGGCGGAAGCGGGCGGCGGCGGGCCCGAAGCCGTCGTCGCCGTCGGAGCTGGAGT